CTTGTTGCTCAAGGATCGATTTATTTGTTTCTTTTTTTGGAAGGCAGGGGGGCAACGACATACTTCCAAGTTACCAAATTTTATATATATATATATATATATATATATAAACAGCATATTTTTCATTCAAATCCTAAATGTGGTCATTAATTACCCCAATCGTTATATCTTCTTAGTTTCAAGCTTTGTTTAGGAATAAAGTTGGCACCCAAAATGCACTTCTGAAACATTCAAAGTAAATATGAAATTTTACAGTGGCCTAGGCGTTAGTGTTACAAGTATCAAATCAAAGGAATTAATTCACCGCAACATGCACCAATGGTAAAGTAGGAGAATAGCATCCCGGTAATTATTATTATTTTTTCCTTTCCTTTTGCTCCTATCTAAACTCACGTGCTCTCCAGACAATTTTAAATATAAACTCTTATATTATTATAATACATTTAAAAAAATTAATTTTTTAATTACTTACTCTAAAATTTAAATATTAAACATTAATTATAAAACAACACTTCTTAATAATAAATCTAACCTTGAGGTTAGTATTGTCACGGTAATGATCAGTTATAAGTTTGCAAATAACAAATTTCCCTTATAGATAGGAAAAGTGCACAAAACAGAGATAACTATAACTAGTAAGGTTTTTTTGCCAACTAGAACAAGAAAAATGCTGCAGGACAATATTTTTAGGTCCACTAGTTTATAAAAATCGAACCTAGTCTCCTAGAATCAGAAATAAAGAAGATATCGAGCCCAGAAGACATAATTCTCCTAAATCTCAACTCTCAAGTGGACCTAGTTCCATTGCTAATTCATGATTTTCTTCAAAGATCTTCAACCAATTCTATTCTAACGGCTGGCACCAGGTTAAACTAAGGCCATTACAAGTAAAGGAACCAAAAACCGCAAAGGGTAGAATTAACAAGGCCGAAGCGAACGCTGAGTTTGAGACTTAAACCCCAAATAAGGAATATTGGAACCAATATGTAACAATGATTGATCAAGAGCATACAGCACTCCATTAGAGAAATGGATGCAATGGAAGCATGGTTATTCCATAAATATTTCAATAAAATCATGGTAGATAATTAAATATTCAGATATTTCTTATGTTTAGTCAAGCCTCTGCACAAGAAGTCAAGAACAAGGAGACCTATTAGAGAATCCTGCACTCAAGAGAAAAAACTGTACAAAGAGCAATATAGTAATTCAAGGCTTTCAGACGGCAGCAAGCAGTGAGTAAACAATTCTTCCCACCCAAAACTGAATCTTGTAAAAGAGCTGTTGATTCAGCTACAAATGGAGAGACAAAATCTGCAAGGCTCAGCAAACTTAAAAGGAAAAGATGAGATTATTTCAATTAAAGAAAGGGCGATAGGGCTTTAAAAGGTTCTTAGAAGTCAGAAGTTGGAAGGTAATGGAGCACCAGTCCAAGTACTTAGCATCAATGACGTACTAAATTCGCAGATCAACTTGTGAAAAGTTAAAAAAGGAAAAATAAGTGGGATTTTTTTTTCTGAATAGTTCGTCAAAATTCTAACATTGGAGCAATCTGGTTGCCTATGAATTTATCTTAATCATTTAATACTTACTATATCACTCAATGAAAAAGAGTGAAGAGAATTACAAATCCCTGCTACAGTAATGTTTATTAATCATTGTCATGTGGAAGGGGCATTAAGTTTGTTTACCTCCAGTTGTTTTATTATTAGCCTTCTGGCAAAAGAATTGAACAATGGCCTCCTCCATTTACTGGCCAAGAGAAAACTGCTAGCCTGAGTCAAAAGTATCATCAAAATCCACCTATGAGGAAAGAAGAGAAATAGAGAATAAACATATGCTCAGGGTATATTTCATCAAGTTGCCCAAATAAGCCAGGGAAGAAAATCACCGTTTCCACTATGAAGATATCAGAATATCTCACTGTATGGTGTTTGGGTTTCAAAAAAAAGGTTGAGAGTCGTACTGCTAGGGCATCTGTGTTGATGGGTAGACTGAGTGAGTGTTGGATCTAATCCTCCACCAGCTGATAAATTCTCAGATAAATCCACTTGGTGTTAATGATTTTATAAAAGACAAGAAATTGACTTCTAAAGAGTAAGTCCATTAACACAGGATTCCACTTGTTTCTCATCCATGTAGAACTTGCTTAAACAAGCGCATCACATCTTGGTGTAGCCCTAAAAAATATTCTCCAACTTGCAAAAACCCACCAGCTTCTCCTCCTTATAAGGAGCCGGAATTGCTAGCTCTTTCCCATACCATCCCTTGACTTCAGTCTTCTTCCTTGACTGAGGCAAACTCCCTTTCCAACTTGTTTCCCTTTTTGATGGTTTTTCGCCCTTTGAAGCCTCCAAATATAATCCCAGCTTGATCAGCTCACTTGCACCTCCTTTTCCATTCTTGCAGCTGCACCTAACTCTTCCAAGCTTTATCATTTTTATTTTATTCCCATTCATTCAACTATTCAAGTAATGGCAGCGAATACCATCACCTCTTCACGTTGCAACTCCTACTGGACTCCAAAGCAAAACAAGCTATTTGAAAAGGCGCTGGCTGTATATGACAAGGACACCCCGGACCGCTGGCAAAAAGTTGCTGAAGCCGTGGGTGACAAATCCCCCGAGGAAGTAAGGAGGCACTATGAGATCCTAGTGGCTGATCTCATGCATATAGAATCTGGCCGCATCCCTATACCCAACTACAAGGGCACTGGGAGCAACAGCAGATGATGAGCAGAGGTAAGATACTGACAATTACTCTCACACCGTTGCAACTTATTATTCTTCCATCATTGCAACACATCCATTCTTGATAAATGTTTTTCATTTCACTTTCTATTACTCTTATGAGTCACTTTCAATCTTAGCAGATTAGCACGATCACTCCTAAAGAAAATCCCATGCTTGTCCAATGCCGAGTATTGTCAACTTCGACAGCTCTTCATTGGCAAGGCAAGGAGGCAGGGGCCTCACAAAGTCTAAAAGCACCATTATTATAGTACAACTAGAGATATTCAACTTCTTCAAAAGAATTATACTCCACACTCCCCAGGGTTTGTGGGCAGTTAATACAATGTCATAAGGGCATCCTTAACTTAAAAGATAAACCATCTAAATTCTATAATCCTCATAAGCTTCAAAACATAGTATAATAAGGGTTTTCTCTTCTCTGCTTCCTTTTCCCGCAGTTCAGCTTCTCTTTTCTTTTTGCCTACATTGGGTATCTTTCCAAACATCGATCATTTCCAGATTGAACCAAAAGCTCTGACCAAGTTTTCTATTACACGTCATGCACTCTGCTTCACTTTTCTAGTAGCTCCAGTTCCAAAGAAACACTGGTTCTCATTCCTCAAGGAGATATTTTATTAATTTATGTTATTAATTATTTAAGAAGTTTTTTAAACTACACCTTAAAAAATATATTTATTATTAATTTACATGAAAATTTTAAAAATTAATTTTAGTTTTATCAATCATATAATTAAATCGTTTCAAGTGACATTAATATTGAAAATAAAGTTTACTTTGATAAATTTTTATATAAATTAATGATAAAAATATATAATAAATATATTATTAATCTATACTCTTAGAACACAAATTGGAAAAATCCTTCCTTTAATGGTCTACCCTTACTCTATTCTTCAACTTCCTAAAAAATGCCCACATGAAATCTAATCCTCTTTGTTGTGTCACATGCAAAAGGTACTATAATTTGGAACTCATGCGAATAGGATAACTTGAAAAAATTATATTAATTGGCCGGTGCTTCTAGTATATGAACATCGTATACGATGATTTGATATGGTACATTTTTCTAACTTAGATTTCACATTCCCCCATAGCATTTTATTAATCCCTAGAGTGGCTCTCAGATCTATTTGAAACTTTAAGCAGAATCATGAAGCCAGTTGTTAATAAATTAACTCCACCAGAATAGATACATAAAAACAAAGAAGGTGCATACATAAAAGAATATCCTGGCACATGGTCTATCAAATACTAATGCTGTCTCTTTCTCATTTTCTTTGATTATCGACAGGCTTATGAAGAATGAAAAGCTCCAATAAAGCAAAAGTTTCAGGCGTGTTGTCAAAAGATACCATAAAGTATTAAAAAGCATGTGCATGAAGAAGTTGTGTGTGCATTTACCTCCTATATTCTGCTAGAAGCTTTAGAAGCTTTTTGAGTGTTTGTGTGCTACTAAGTCTGTATAATGATGCTGGTATTGGTGTTTCCATCTAAAGTTTGTTGTACTTAATTTTTGTGGGAAAATGCTACTAAATCTAATCCTTTGTTTGTACTGTATTTTCTACAACCAATGTACACACAGAACCAACAGATCCAGCGAAAAAAGAAAAAAAATAAAAGAAAAGACGAGAGAATATAGATTTTAAGCTCTCAAATCAATTCATATGGAAGGCAAAATCATAGCTCACTATATTGAATTTCCACTTACTGTTTAACTACTTAAAAGCAAACAATGCTCATCTAAGTGGCATTATCACAAACAGTTAATCAACAAAATTCTGTTTTCCTTTTTCTTACCACCTGTTTTCTTAAGATCATGGAAGAAATTACTTTAATCATGTTCTGCAATCGAAATAATAGTAATAACAGAATTACTAAGTGTAGTGAATTTCATATTATTGTTTAATTACTTACCTTTGGAGTTCTAGCCTCGGAACTCCCATCGGAGTCTGAGTCGAAGTGAGATCGCCGACAATCAGGAGAGAGGAGCAGCCAAATCTGAGATTCACAATAGCAAGAATCGAAATTAGAACAACAGGATACAGAAGCATACATAAACAAAAGAAGCACTGAAACAAGGTTCCTTACCAACCTTTGGAGTTCTAGCCTCCAAATTCCCATCGGATTCGGAGATGGAGTGAGATCGCCGGTAACTTGGAGAAAGGAGCAGCCAAATCTTGAGGATAAACGGAAGATCTGAGCTAAATTCGACATGATCGGATGTAGGAGGTAGAAGAACAGAGATAGGTTGATATATTGAGAGCTGGCGAAAATCAAAATCTCAAAATTGTGAAGCGAATTGGATCGGATCTTGATCCATAAGGCGGTAAGAGGTTAAAAATTTTGATTTTGATTTAGAAATACTGAATAGCGAACTGGTTTGTGATGGGTGAGAGAGAAGCGGGAAAGACTTTGGTTTTCCACTTTCCAATTAAGTAGACAAAAATAAAAAATGGAGATGCGGGGTATCGATCCCCGTACCTCTCGCATGCTAAGCGAGCGCTCTACCATCTGAGCTACATCCCCGATACCTCTGGGTTTTAAGAAATAAAATTGAAATAGAGAATAGAATTCAAAAGTGTTAGATTTACGTGAATATCTTTTTTTTTTTGATGAAAATTTCATAGGCGCATATTTTATTTCACTTAAAAACAAAGAACTTTACAAAACATCCAGATTAAGGCATTTCCTTTGTGACAATATGCGCGAGAAAAGGTGGCACCTCTGTTGTCCAGTACTCATCATCCTCAGCGTGCAGAGCCCGCCGTGCCAGCTCATGAGCCACTGAATTTCCCACGCGGCGGATGAATTTGACATGACAATTATCAATAGAGGCCATAAGCAATTTGCAATCTGATAGAACAGTTCCTAAGCTGGAGTTTATATCAGAAAGGGGGGAGTTCATAGCTGTCACCAAGCTGGCACAGTCCGATTCCATAATCACCTTCTCGAAGGAGAGCTCACAAGCCCATTGCAAAGCTTTGCGCAAACAACATGCCTCAGCAATCTCGGCACACACAGTCCCCTGACCTTTGCATGACATGGCTGCCACCACTGCCCCCGAGCTGTTCCGTGCAACGGCGCCCATGCCATAAATTCGCTGGTGAGCTGAAACTGCCCCATCAACATTTATCTTCACATGATCTCCATCTGGAGGGGTCCATCTCGTTTCCATCCGATGAGACGCCGAGGGGCCTCGACCTCGTAAAGCCATAACTCTACGATACTCATCTAAAAATCTTAAGCTCTGTTCGATAATAAGCTGCGGGTTGGGGGATCTATCATTCCACAGAGCATCATTCCTGGAACTCCAGATTTTCCAGCAGAGCACACACAGGAGTTCAAGCTGTTCCTGTTGCAAGAGGTCCAGCATATACTCAAGGAAGCTAGCAAAATTATCCCCAGTAAGGTTTGAGATTCGGAGATTAAGCGGGCAACCCATCCAAACTGCACGACTAGCCGCACAAGCCACTAGACAATGGAACACAGATTCCTGCTCCATGCCACACATAGGACAGTCAAGATCGACTTCAACTCGGCGACGCATTAGATTATCTTTTGTGGGGAGAATATTCCTATAAGCTTGCCAAATCATCAAGCGAACCTTCTCAGGGATATCAAGATTCCAAAGAAGACCACCCCTGAAGCTTGAGGAGGACGGGGAGGGGCCTGCATGAGACCCACCCATGGCCATTGCACGGTGATAACCAGAGCGGACGGAATAAGAACCTTGTCTTGTAAACTGCCATGTCCAGCCATCATCTCGACGCACCCAACTCAAGGGCATGGATAAGATAAGCTGGGCCTCATGAGGATTAAAAGTTGCCTGAATTAAATCATTCTTCCAGTAGTGGGAATCAGCATCAATAAGATCACATACGTGGCGAAGCTCGCAACCGGCTGGACGGGGTGATTGAACATAAAACTGGCTATGACCAAGAAGCCAGGGATCATTCCATATGTCTATGGAGCGCCCATCACCAATCAACCTTCTGCACCCTTGTCTTAGAAGGGTAGTTGCAGAGCAGATACTCCGCCATGTAAAGCTACAGGAGGGCTTCAACTCCGCATGCAAGAGATCTGACCGGGGATAATATTTAGCCTTCAACAATTGTGCAACCAGTGAGTCCGGGTTGACGAGTAAACGCCAGCCTTGCTTACCAAGCATAGCTAAATTGAATTCGTGAAGAGCTCGGAACCCCAAACCTCCCATCTTCTTTGGAGTTGCAAGCTTTCTCCACTCCATCCAGTGGATCTTAGAATGACCGTCACCCCCACCCCACCAGTATCTATTCATAATCCTCTCCAGATCTATACAAAGACTCCGAGGAAGAAGAAACATGCCCATGAAGTACATAGGGAGAGCTTGTAAAACTGACTTGATGAGAACCTCTCTCCCAGCCTTTGAAAGGGGTTGCTCTCGCCAATCACAAATACGAGCCCGGAACTTACTCTTCAGATCAGAAAATGCTCTTGCCTTTGCTCTACTAACTTGGGCTGGGAAACCAAGATATCTACCTGGGGAGCTCAACTCCTTCATACCAAGAATTCCCGTAACACGATCTCGTGCGATAGA